AAGTTACACTTTAATTTTCATTTTTTAAGCTTAAAAGCATCTTTTATATTTCAACACCAAATCTTTAAAATGCTAAGTATATGTCTACATACTTTTTTTTTTTTTTTAATTAAGAAGAGTAAATAAAATTACAAATATTTAATATTAATCCTATAAGTAGAATAGATAATATTGTACATCGTCGTAACAAAAAATAATAAAACGTATGGAATCTATTATTTCATCGAATTAAGCATACTTTGTATTAAGGCTATAACTAATAACTACTTAATTTAGTTTATTAAAATAATTACTAACTAGTAACTAAAATTGTTATTTTTCAATTAAATAACTATTTTATAAACATTTTAACTAGATATATGTCTATAAAAAATAAATGCATATATATTTTTAATAATTGCAAATTGAGGTAAGAATAATTTTATTTATGAAGATCCTTGAATTTAATGTTTCAATTTTTTCAATCAAAAACAAAAATTTTATCATAAATCAAACAAAAAATTTAAAAAAAATCAATTGCATTATAAATATTAAATAGTACCTACGATAAAGTCCAAAATTATCATTTCTAGAAAATCATATTATAAATATTTAGTAAGAGCTCCAAGTCTTTACAGTTTTTCATTTTTAATTGTAATAGAATTGACTTTTTCATTAAGTTTTACACAGTTGTTTAAAAAAAAAAAAAAACAGTGAATTTTTAATTTTTTCCGTAAGATAATACCAAAATCTATTTATCCAATTTATGTGATACCAAAAACCTTATTTTAAGTTAAAGATATTCAAGAAAAATAACATTATAGCATTAAATCAAACTATACATTTGTAAAATTAAAATTTCTCAATGCGGGAATACATTAGAGTTATATTTTAAATTTAAATGGACTTTTTTTCAAATTAAACCATTTATTAATCAATATTATTTTTCTTTTGAAATATGAGCCCCATAAAAATGGCACTCGATTATTTTACAACCCTTTTGATTATAAGTTATAACGCACAAGCTTTATAATACTTGTCCATAAATCTTCCACTCACAGATGACAATAACGAATAATAAATGAAATTACTAAAAAAATGTATACAGTCTTCAACAATATAAAATGTTTAAATTTAATGGCCAAGTTCCAAAAAATTAATACTATAACACAATATCTATACACAATATTATTAAGTATTAACGTTTATAATAGTTAAAATATGTTACAATTTTTTGTTAAACAACAAATACAATAAGTAAAAAATTGGTGATGCTCATGACCAATTTTACTACTAACTAATTTTTTTGTTTTAAAAACTGACTTTAACAGTTAGTGATATTTTCTGGCACTAAAACATACTTTTACTAGCCAAAAAATAATAAATATATCTTATTTTAATAATTATTTAAACGTCTTATTATTATTTTTGGTATAATTTCCAATGTATATTTTATAAATGTATAGATTATAATTATGAATATTCCGACAATGGTAGCTTCTACTCTACTTAAAATAAAATTCATCTACTATCCAGATAAGATTAAATGTTTTAATTTTATTAATTTTCTGCAAAGATAAGTAAAATTCGTTATAATAATTCGACTGCTATTTTTTAATTTTTTTTTTTTTTTAATATAAAGTATATATTATTCCTGTGGTAAAGCGTAAATTTTCATCACATTGTATAATAGTGCAAGCGTAAACTCCTTACCAGGCATTTTAGCATTGGAAGTTATTTTAGTGAATATAATATTAATGAAATTGTTTTTAAGTAACGTTTTTTATTCAAAATGCATAAAATTAAATTAAATTTTTAAACTAACTTGAATGCATTATAATTATCTGTTTAAATAAAAATTATTATTTAATATACTTTATAATAAAAAAATGTATCATCAAAAATAAATTGTAACCAAAATTACTGTAATTAACATTTACTACACTCTGATGATCAAATTTACTAATCCAATGTTGAATATTTAAAATCAATATAGTTTAACATAGAACTGCATAAAAATGAATAATAAATATTATTAGAAGTTTTATCCTTGTGATGAAATGTATAACGAACAAGTTGCATAAAAATGTATATAATTAATAATCAAATATACATATTGCGTATAATACATAACATACTTTAAATTATTTATTATTATTTATAAGTAATAATTAAATTAGTTACATATGATATTTATAATTTTAACGAAAGTAGATGACAAATCTTTCAAATTTATATAATTGTGCAAAATTCTGATTTGAATCTAACTTTTACGAAAATACTTGCTAAAAAATGGGTAAAAATATATTTACTAAACTAATTAATATCCTTTCATTACAAAATCTTAGTCAAATATTACTCATTTCGATTATTTGATAACCAATTAATTCATGTACACTTTTTTTTTTAAATTTTGACTTATCGTTATCGACAATATTTCAATTAATTGGGAACGACCGTTAATATATTTACGATACATTTTTTATTGTTTTAGAATAATTTATAATATATATATATATATATATATGTATGTTTGTGTTAAATATTTAAATTTATGTTGTTATATGAAAAATTTAAATGTATTTCTTTAATAATAACGTATTATACTTAGTTACATATCTACCTAAAATTTCTTTCTAGCATCTATACTTTAATGTGTAGTCCGTTCAATATTTTTAGAACTATCGAATAAAAAATTATTATTTAGTAATATTATTATTAATTAAGTTTTGTTATATAAATTCAACATTAGCAATAAAATTGTTACTAACATAATAAATAATATTTAAAATTGTATAATTAAAAATGTATTTTACTATAATATTCATATAAACAATTAATATTAGTTACATACAAATTTTAGTCCCAAATAGTATTTATTTTGCGTAAATTATTACGTAGATAATAATGTGAACACTCTCTGTCAACAAAAAAGGGATGTTAAACCATTGAATTTAAAATAAATTCCTCATTTTAATTATGAATCGCATTTATAAGATTAATTTTAAATATATAGGTATACTAAATATATTTTACATATAATTTCGTACATAATATTAGGTTGTATCAGTTAATAAATACAAAAAAAACTTTTTAAGTTATTGTTTTTTTACCATGCATCATATATTTTTCACAAAGCCCATATGGTTCAAGGGTTATAAAATTACAAAAGACTTTAAAATTAATTTACAAAATTAAAAAGAACAATAATAATTACCTTCTATATAATATAAAATTCAAGACAATATATATATATATATATGTATTATATAGTAATAATGTTAAGTACGCATAAAACGCGTAATTATTTTTATGTTATTATTTCACCGATAAGTATTTTTTTTTTTTTTTTTTTTGTTTCAACATTTAGCTTTAAAAATGGATTAGTATATTACAGGATAAACATGGTGAAATAAAATATAATTAAAAACAAATTTTCGTAAATTATTTACAGTGTCCGACAAAAACATTGAAAAACAAGTCTACAGTCGAATAACTAAATCGAGAATCATCCATGACCCAGCCTTGTACTTTTTAATAATATATACTCCAAATACAATTTATTCCGGGGGTCTCCTACATAATAATACATTACACCTGATGTAATATTGAAATATCGATCGATAGAAGTAAATAGTAATCACATTATAATATTATATATTCAAATATTCACATACTAAAACGTACTAAACATAAAATTAGGTGTTCCTGGTCCACTGCGTTTATTTTTATTTTTTCTAATTACTGAAAAAAATTATATAGATTTGTTTGAGTAGGTAGGTATTATATTAATTATTGCTGAAGAAATATTTGAAATCACATTCGTAGATTTTTATTTTTAAAAAGAGCAGAATACGTCATACAATAAATATCGTATGATGGCATATTTCATTTATTAGCAATTAATTTCATTTTTTAATAACTAAATTTACAGAAATACTTATTAGTTATTATTATTATTATTATTACTCTTTTTTTATTGTGATCGTTTTAAAAAACATCTTCTACATTTATTGAGTGAAATAATCGCATATTTTTTTAGTTGTTTTTTTTTTTTTTAATTAATAAAAAAATCTACCATTTGTCCATAGACATTTGCGGTCATTATAACATATTAAAACAATGCGTGAACTACCAGCTAACAATTATTAATATTCAACTTTGAAATCGGCCTACGGGACGGCCACCTTGAGTCGAACACGAATGTGTATGACGTTGAAAACAACTTTTTTTCGAAAACAATCGACTTAGCCGTCCGCAAGTAAGGACGACGGAGTTTTGACTTCCAAAATCGTTAAAAACAAAAATAAAACAAAAAAAAAAAAAAAAGTATACGTTTTTATAGGCAACAACGACAATGACGTTAAACGATTAGTCGACGCGAACCAGACTCGCCACTACCGTGGTAACCGAAATGGGTATGACATTGTGTTGACGAAACGCGCGACACGGCCGACGGTCGTGCGGTGGACGGCGAAAAAAACAACATAATATTTTGTAACGATATCGTGTGTGACATGGAGGAAAACGCGCGCGTTACAGAGAGTAACCGCTCGTGTGATGTTCTGCGGTTACCGCCCGACGATCGCACTGTCGCGATTGCTCAGACGCGATTGATCGGAAAACGGTATCGCGGAAAGCCGGGACGATGCGCCGCGGCGGCGACGGCGGCGTGTCGGGTTACGTGACCGCCGCGGCAGGGCGTAGGCGCTGTCCGGCGGGCGTCCTTGACGACGGGCCGTAAGAAGAAAGACGACCGAGGTATCGCCGTACCGCGCGGTACTGCGGGACGACGGCCGCCGAGGAGGACGTCATCGTAAGCGTAGATGGGACCGAGCGCGATCGCCGCGATAACATGGCCGCCGCCGCCGCCGCCGCCTTGGGCGAAAGGAACAATATAATCGCTCCGATGCCACCCGCCGCCACCGACCGCGACGCAGCCGCCGCCGCCGCAACGGCAATGACATTGGCCGCGCGCCGACTACGGTCCCGCGCGCGGTATATAAACTGCCCGACGTCTGGTTCTTCTCACCATTCGTCCCGAAGCACCGTACCAAACCGTAGCAGCTTAAGCCGACCGAGTCCGATCCGTTCGCCTAGTACAACACCATCGCAGTCACCGCCAAAAAACCAATATCCAAAATCATGATGTCTCCACTGGTGAGTACCTACCTTATTATAAAAAATCGTAAACGTTACGACGACGAAGTTAAGAGTCTGCTCCGCTCCACCGGATCTCGTATACTCCGACAAAACTATACTGTTTTTTTTTTTTTTTTTTTTAAGTAAATCGTTTTTTAAATTTTTTTTAATAATTTATACTTATACCAATACGATATATTTTACGCGGACGGATTTCAAAGTGCAGCCTTTAAATGACTCAACCCGAGTGCTGTATATTCCAGTTGATAGGCCGAGTTCGTTTACCGTCGTACATCGCTTAGCGTTCAATATTATTTACAATTTTTTTATATAAATTAATTTATAAATATATGCCTTCACACATGCCGTATTCGGTGAATACATTTTAAACATAAATTTACTCTTTGTCGTTTTATAAACACCTAGAAATGCACATTTTTTTCATTATTATCTCCTAGAATATCCAAATAACCGATTATACAAATCGTATGGACTTAGCAATATTTGATTGAAATACGTATATATATATATTATCCTGATAAATAAAACAAGTATAATATTACGATTGATGATCATTTATTTTTTTTTTTTTATTTATAATCATCAGCCGTTCAATACTTATAAATTATTTTATAAATTTTAATCGTTTACGTATTATAATAATTATTAAATAACACTCTTAATGAAATTACTTTTGTAATATTTTGAATCGGTAATAGACTTATCTTTCAATTTAATTGCGATTAAAAAAATACGATAAAATCAATAATATATTTTTAATACATTTTGTTTAGTTATTACTTTTATAAAAAACATTTTAAAAATATATATACATTTAAAATTGAATAAATAAAATGAATAAATAACTTTTCAATTGAATCCTATTAAAATTAAAATTTTATCACCTTGTTTCTGTTATTTATACGCAATTAATATTTTTAACCTAAAATGTATTTAAAAATATTTTTAATATGATAAATATTAAGAAAATACAAATTTGTAAGTAATAAACAATATATTTCTAAAGTATTGATATTTAAAAACTCATTTTTTTTTTTTTTTTTATGAGCTTAACTACAATAAACTTTAATTTGAATCAAACGTGGGTAAATTTTTTTGTATCTAAGTCATTTATAAGTTGAATTTTGTTTATATTTTATAAGTTATTTATTCATTTTACTCAAGTGAACGAATATTGCATGTTAATATTTCTATATCTAAATCTCAGTATTTAATATTATTTTGCATTTCATTTTTCAACAATAAAAAATGTTGGTTCGTTTTAACAGTCATTGATTAAAAAATGAACGACATAATACCGTTTGTAATTGTCATTCATCCTAATACGTAATGATCTAAACGAGTGTGTAATATAATAATAATATATACCTATTAACATGTCGAAGCGCGTCTTTTTGGGAGGTCTGTCAAACGGACGAACGATCCGTAGCGTGACGAATCGTCTCATCATCAGTCACCCATACATACGATTATCCACAGTCTAATCGTGTATCTATACACGTGTGTAATCGGTTCGAAAATATATCCAAAACCACAGGCTGAACATCGGTATCATAATTAAATGATGAATAACGTGATTGTTATCAAGACTGTATACGCGAGATAAATTTTATTCAATTAGATCGTTCTCGGAGATCATGCCTCTTCAACCCGCGAACCAGCCGTCATCCTACCGTGCACTTCTTTGCGACAACAAAACGTTTACGTGTATTGGTAGGTAGGTACGTAACAATATTATCGTTCATATGATGTTATTCAGATTCCTCCGGAATTTGCCGGATCGGATTGGTTTTTCGTGTCGAATCCACTTGGAAAACTATCCGTCGACGATGATGACAGAACGTTAAAACGATGGTGTTGGCACCACCAACGCCCGCATTAAGGCCATATTATGTTATGCTATAATAAAATATTATTATTGCTACAGTTTTCTCTGTTGTCCGTATCTTTTTTCTTGAATATTATATATCATACGAAATCGAAAAAAATGACAATAATAATAATAACTTGTTGAACCAAGAGAATAAGGGCCACCGTAGTGGAATCGTATGACCCGACCACGAATACACATTATAAAACCGTCTATATACACGAGACGGATCCATTGAATCGCAGACGAGACGAATGCGACAATGACGATTGATCTATTTGTCACGGTGTGCCTGTGGCGACGGAAGAAACTATTTGTATGTGTGCAATAATGCGAATGAACTGAAAGTCCTATTAAACATCAAAACGGGTATGCACGTATGCGCGAATGTGTGTGATTAATTAAAACATACTACCATTTGGATGCGTATTGAAAAACGGCCGACTGCAACAATAATATAATCATAATACCTACTATGATATATAGCCTCGGAGACTTTAACGAACGTTCGCAATTTCGCTATAATAATAATAATAATAATAATAATATTATTATTATTATTATTATTATTATTATTATTATTTATATACCATGTGATGGCGAAAATCGTATTAGATCCGATAGCATTTTTTCCCAGTAGTATATAAGCAGTACCATCGTGTTTCGAATGTCGGTCAATCGATAATATATTAATAAATTATTATGAGGGAATAAAATAAACAACAATGATATAATCGTATACCCTCGGCGCGATTGTTTCGACCCAAAAGCCACGGGCATTAGGTCGCGAGTCCGGATCTGCTGCAGCCGCAGGTCACCCCGAAGAACCGTAGGTATATTGGAAAGCGACCGAACGATATTATAAACATCATAATAAACACACGCCCGCTGTGAAATCTCGCACGAAATCTAATATTATAATACACAGCTAGTACGCGGCGCTGGACAACGCAAAAGCTCGGGAAAAAAATAAGATATCATTCGAGATTGTTATTTGGCGCTTAGACGGCAGACAATCGGTGATATTCTAATACAATTTTATATATCGCATTATTATAAAATACAGTTGTCACGTACACAACACATGCACGCGCGCAGTCTATTGAACTAGCAGGACGGAACGAATAAAAAAAAATTAAAAAAAAATACTAATAATTGATATGGGCGAGAATAAAATTGTCGGACGTTTGCCTTCGTTGACGTGTGTACGTCGTATAAATATATCGCGCGGCAGTTTATTTCTATCGAGAAAACGAATGCCTCGTATAATGTATATAATATCATCGAACGGCGAATTCGGTGTGCGAGCGTGTGTTGAACTCGTAATAAAAAATTCGTTTTTCAATATACACAACACAAAGACATACCGGTACACATATTATTATTATTATTATTATTATTACGTATTATTGTGTACAACATATAGTCCGATCGGTCGCGGAATATAATAGACCTTTGGAAAATCGCGAACCGCACGTCCGACGGCAGCCACTCCCGTCGTTTGTCGTCGCGGTATCAACCGGCACCGCGTGCCATCCTCCGGTTGTATGTGCTGCCGTTAAATAATAATATAATTTAAGCCCTCGACAATATATAATAATAATAATAATAATAGTAATAATAATAATCATAATATAATATAAACGTCCACAATGGGAGTCCCCCTCAAATTAGCACGTCCGAATCGTCGCTGACGAATGAGTTCCGATGGTGTTCGATTGTGCGCGTATTGTATATCTAGGCCACTATTACTACACGCATTTCGCACGTCGCGCGCACACATATAGGTACGAGTAATAATTATAATAAAATATTTAATATAATACCGTTTTGTCTGACCGGTATCCGCTGCAGCTTATTATATTATTTATTGCATTCGACATATTATAATTGAGAAAATCGATCGCGTTTTCAGCACACGCGATTGTAGTCCGAATTCCCTACGTACTGTGTACTGTGTACTTGTATGGTATATATATAACTATTAACTAAATCAAATTTAGAACACGATCGTGGCGGGATAGGTATCTTATTCTCATTAGGGTTTTTTTTTTTTTTTTTAACAATTGATTTCTCATTAAACTACATAAATTATTGTTGAAAAATTCGCGTTTCTAATATATTTTTCTCGTGTGACTTTTAATACTTCATACGAGATAATATTGAGTCGATCGATAAAAATTAATCACATTTTTTTTCTTTTCGTCATATTGAAGTCTGGAAATATTCAAAAATTCATGTCTCTACACTTCTTTTCAAAAAAAAAAAAACCTAATAACAATAATATTATATCATCATACAATACCTATCGTGTTAATAACGGAGTGATGAAAAACGATTGTACATTATAAAATGACTGTTTGCAGGTTGTTGTAATTGGGCTCGTAGCCGTGTGCTCGGCCAGTCCGTCACTATACTTCAGCGGTCCACAATACTACAGCGGTTACTACGCTGCCCCTGCCGCCGTGGTCAGCCCGATCAAGAGCCAATACCACACGCAAAACGAATTCGGACAGTACGCCTACGGCTACAACGACGGATACTCCAGCAAATCCGAAACCAAGCACGCCAACGGTCTGACCGAAGGAGCGTACTCGTACGTCGACCCGAACGGAGTTCTCCAGCAATACAAGTACGTGTCTGACGAGAACGGTTACCGCGTGTCCGGCACCAACTTGCCCGTGGCCCCGGCCGTCCCAGTGGTCGAGGTCCCGGCCGTCCCAGCCGTCCCAGCCGTCGAATCCGTCGTCGCGATCAAGTCCGCTCCGGCCCAAGACGCAGACCCGGCCCCAGCCGCCCACGTCGACGCCGCGCCCGTCTACCAGGCCGAGGCCCCGCAACCGGTACAAGACACCCCGGAAGTGGCGGCCGCCAAGGTGGCTCACCAGATCGCTTACGACGAGGCTAAGAAAGCCGCGGACGCCTCGCCAGCCGAAGACGAACCGTCGTCCGACAGCGTCGTCCAAGATTCCGCCGAAACACCCGCCGCACCCGCCGCACCAGCAGCACCCGCCGCCGACCACGCCAGCTCCTTTGGACCAGCCCCAGTCTTAGCCGCCGCACCCGCCGCCGTCGCCTCGTACAGTTACCACCCGGCTGCTGCTTACGCCGCTTATCCGTCGTACGCCGCCGTCCCGGCACCTGCCCCGATCACGTCCTACGCTTACGGCCCAGTTGCATCCTACGCATATGCCGCTGCGCCAGCCCCGTCTTACGCTTACACCGCCCCGTTCGCCGCCTCGTCGTACTCGCCGTTGCACAGCCAGTACCACTCGCAAGACGAGTTCGGTCAGTACTCGTACGGTTACAACAGCGGTTCGTCGTCCAAGGCCGAAGTCAAGACCCTCGACGGCATCACCCGCGGAGGTTACTCGTACGTGGACGCCAACGGACTGGTCCAACATTACAACTACGTTTCCGACCCCGTCAACGGTTTCCGCGTCGCCGGCACCAACCTGCCAAAAGCCAACGCTTTGTAAACAAGCGACCGGCCGCCAAATTAAACTCTATACCATCCCTCCCCCACGAACACCGATTCACCCCCCCCACCGCAACCAATTAACCCCATCACGCTGCTACGTTGTTTTTAGGTACTGGATGTAAACTTTACTATATCATATTTGTGTACGATACGATACTCGCGTTAAGTCACGCGTGCCTCTACACGGGAAGTTCGTGTTTGACGTATTTTCGCACTTGAGTATGACGTGCGTAAACTAATATGATATAACTATTAATAAACGCGTGTTTATGACTCTTCGTCGAGTTTTGTACAGGCTCCCTTCTAAAATGGTCAACGGTCCGGAGTGGGGCGTGACGTTACCGAGGATCGTCGGATCCGTTTGCCGCCCGACGTCAAACGAAACCGGTGGACTTTGATTCGCGCAAAGGAATTTCGTTTCTCGGCACCGTCACGCTCGTTACTCCACTTCTCCTCGCCCAACAGCGAGGTGAAGGAAAAGGGCTAAATATTAATAAAAAAAAACCTTTTTTTATTTTGTTAGCTTTTAAGTTTTTTTTTTTTTTTTTTTATACTATACACTTTCTTCACGTGAACACATCGATATTATTATTGTATTTTTGGTAAATGAAAACTCTGTTAATAATAAATTCACGATTTTGTAATTGTACACACGTGTATTTACATACTATACTACAACCCAATACCTAAACCCTATACCATATTTTCCTCAAAATACCTATTCAAACCTCCTCTTGAACTTTTTCTCACAAATTTTTATTATTAGATCGTTTACGATCATTGTTTTATTTATTTTATACACCATTTTAAAATTAGTGAAATGGTGAACCAATTTATCAATGGACAATAAATTCGTTATATTAGTTATATGATGATATTTCAATATATTGTTATTTGTTAATTGTTATTATGTATTAGAAGAGCTACAATAACATTCTATATAAGTATTTAAATACAGATGTTTAACAAGTTTCTAGGAAATGTTCTAAGATGTATTTAAAAAAAAACATACGTTTTTCTGCTTAATAAGTCAAAAATCTATCTACATACAATTGATTAAATTTAATAAATGAAAAATTCAACCACTAGGTTACTTCTTATTTTCACTTTGTCACGAAAATTAATAAATACTCAACTTTTACGTTTATAATTGTAAAATCCAATTAAATTTTTGTGATCTGAACAATAAAAAACAAATTTTAATACCAGGTTTGACCATTGAAAGCAAAAAGATTATATAATACAGAAAATGTAATAAAATAAAATATAAATAATGGATTACTATTTACTAGATAATCGGTGTATTATTACGTCGAGTTTTAATGAGCATATATAAATGGTATACCAATATAAACTAGTAACTTATAGTATTAAATTATTTATTAAAAATGTCCAGAACTTTTATTTACATTATTTTCCTGAAATCACATTTTAATACATGAACACACTGACCACATATATACATTCGTAATATAATATATTACCGCGAGGTAATATTAATGATATTATGGTATATAGATTCTGCTGAAATGTGTCATAAAAAGTGAAAAATATATTACAAATTTTACATCGGCAGATAATATATTTAATAATGGCACATTAATGTTAGGTTAGATATATAAATAAGCTCATATACCAAACAATTATTGACAATAATGACAAATCGATATATAGTCATGGTGCGGACGCATTCATCAAACTATAATACTTATAATATGTTGTATGTTGCCGGGGTGGATGAAATTTAAAATTCGTTCAGGTCACGTATATATAAATTATAATACAAAGTGTGACCATAATTTTAATTGTCCAAAAAGGGGACACTTTCTAAACAATTTTTAAAAAATTACCATTATAAGGGAGCTTATAAAACGTCAATTTATTTTATTTTGATATAATATTGTTTAGTAAAATCGAATTAGAATACTACTTACTAAGCTACTAGTCACACTATAATGTAGTACGTAGTATGTAGTATTAATTTTGATAGCTATAAAATACTTAAGAGTTACAACGATAGTATAATATATACAATATACATATATATATATATATATATATATATAAGTATATAACATCTACAACAACTACAAATAAAATATTGTTCTTCCTAATTAAGGCAAAATATGAAAACTTCAATTTGGTTAATTTATAAACAAGACACCACACGTATTAGTTAACGAAGATACGAAAAAGGATTATCTGGGTGAAGGGTTAGCTTTTATTATTGTTACGTTCCCATGTTTCCTACCTGTTTTAATAATACTCGTATATTTTATATTTATGTAATTATAAATGTTATTTCTATGGGTCAAGCTCTTGGTAATCTAATTTACATTCTAATTTAAATATTGACAAAATCCAGTTGTTATACATCTTGCAACAAAAACCTAGATAATACCACCTCTTAAACATGCCAATTATATTAGTATAACTATAAAAACGCAAACTATCGTCTATACTACAACTTTACTATAATATATTATGAGTACACCGTAAAATATTTTTAATCACAATTTTATACAAGATTTACAATTATTATTTTCTTATAATATAGATAAGTTTAGCCGATTAGATAACTACTTTTTAGCTTTTTAGTTTTAAGTATTCAACTTAAAATAATAGCGAGATATCGTTTTCTCAGACTTTATACTTATTAGACAATCTAATGGCATTACTAAACACTCAATTATTCGTTATTATGATGAAAATAATTATTAAAGTATATCAGCAAAATTAATTAATCTCGCTCCTTATGCATCTAGTAAAAATTATATCAAATAATTTTTCAATTGATTTGACTTGTAACGTCAGCTATTAAGGATTAGTAAGTACTTTGGATTTACCTAATTATTTAACTATATATCACGATTCACGAATATCTTAAAGTGGTCGTACTTAAAAATTATAAGCTAATTTATTATTATATCTCCTCTAAGCCGTAATAAAGGTATATACTGCAAAGTAAGATTTTTACATAACAAATAATTTAAAACCTGTTTTAAACTCCATTCGGCACAATAAGTTCATTTTTCAGTACCATGTCTAAAAACATAAATGTTCACTAATTAAAAGTTTTAATATAAATATTAATAAATCAAAGTAACGATAGGCATCAAAATTGTAATAATAACAATGAGTATAATTAACTATACTTCACAATTCTTACATGAAATTAATCAATTATATCTATAGTATTTTATAAAATAACTGAATCATAGACTTAATTCAAGTATCATGGATGAAAAAGATTTTTGGTAGATTCTGCTAGAGTAATTTGCAATACTCAACAACCAATATATAGGTACAAAAATAATTAATTAAAACACAAAATTATAAAAAAGTAATAATATTAAGAAAAAAATTGCAGTATTGCATGTCATTATTGAAAATTTTAATTTTTCAATCAAGACCAAAGCATTAAAATTTATTGAAATTTACTAAATAAAATTAAAATACTGGAAACTAACTGATGCAGAATTTTTAAGTGTATCATACTCACATATAATGTATAATATATATCTAACCTATTTGATATTTCTACTCAGGCATAAAAAATTAACGACCTAAGCACTAACAGAGTATATCGTTAAAAATGTAATTGGGAAGTGTCAGAAACAAAGTTTATTCCGATTTTTAGATTTCTATAAAAAATAATTGTCGTATACGTTAGCAAAAACCAAAAACTTGTGATTTTCAAAAAGTTACACTCGTTTTACTTTACATTATAGCGTTACAGTATCATCTACGAATTTGTCACACTGTATTCACAATCATCAAAAATCAAAATCGATTTTTATTTCTGATGTGCTGTTATGACTCAAGCTTAAATATCACAAAATGTACGATCAGTTTTAGTTCCCTGCAGCAAAATTCAATAATTTATTTTCCTTAAAAAATAACCTTACATCATCATCTAACACCAAATTCAATTCATCATAGTCTGTAATATGCGTAAAAGTATTAAACATAATATGTACAAGTAGATATATAATAATATTAATGTATAATTCAACTAGCGACTACATGAAATAAAAATATTTATTAGATCGTCTTTGTGTGCTTGATATTTTTTCTTGCGTAATTTAACCAATTTTTGCATATATCTAAAATGTTAATATTCTTTGTTAAAAAAAATATAATAATATTTAATAATATTATGTGCCATTTCAAACAACAAAAACCTGTTCCGCTAGGTTTATGAGCTGATCTCGTTGTTTCAATGATGTTTCATAAAAATATGATCTGAATTTAATTTTATAATATCTACAAAATATTCACCTACACTTATTTGTGGTTAATGTTTTTTTAATGTTAGCAAATTGTTTACCAGAATAAATGTAATATCAGACAAATTATTAACAAAGAAATATTATCGTATTCGAGCAAATTAACTATACTTATAAAAGATATATATAAAAAAATAATTTATTAATACGGAGGATATCAAGTTATATGACATAATAATTGGTTCAAGATTAAAATGTTCTTATGGATAAAACGTATTATTATGATTGCCCGAAGCCACACAATTTGCTTTGAATAATATTATTCTAATAGAGTATGTATCTATTTACTATATAACCGTATAACTATATTATATTGAATAAATTATTGTTAAATTTATAGTTTGATGCACTAAATATCTATTTTATTCATGGAGTGAAAAATACACAATTTATATTATTAATTATGATTTTATTTCATTTATTGAATTTATTTAAATTTATAAATAACCGGCTACCATTTAAATTATCATATTATCATCAAGCAACTACAAGCTATATTCTACCACATACGTAGAACATTTAGATGTGTTATATTTAACTATTATTATTATGTATTTTCTACAAGAAAATCAACCAAAAATTCACTGTATAATCATAATTCATATCAATGAAGATAAGTAAGAAAACTGCAAAATATCCTAATTTAATATCGTGAATTTGATTATAGAAAACAAACTTTAAAAGCTATAGTGTTATACATGACTATTATTTATTATAATATAAGCTGCAACCATAATATTTTGTAAATTCTGAATTGATTATTATATTATAATTAAATGAATTAAAATTAAATATAAATGTATAAAAAATGTCATACTAAAACACTAAATAATATTTTCATATACTTATTATCAAAGCATAATATTATGTAATAAAGTGATAGTGGCCCACATTTTTTATTTAATAATAACTATTTAAATTCTTAGTTTTTTAATTTTTAAGTATACTTAAAAAACATATTTTGAAATGCTTCTGTTTTTTGAGTCATCTAAAAAAATATAGTAAAATATTCAATCTTGGTTTTTTTTTTTTTGTAAGAATCAAACTTTTTTAGTAAATTTTTAAGCAGATTATCTTTTAATATATTGATTATCTATCTATTTAAATCAAAATTTAAACTAGTAGTTTTTCACTAGTTTCTTATATGTCACCAAAGTACATTTCTTAAATAGAATATTATAAATTATATTAAGTTTTTAAAAATATGATTTTTTTAAGTGTACCACTAAAAAATTACCAAAACCATGAAATGAATAATAAATTTAAAGGATAAAAGAGGAGTGAACTCGCTTGATGAATATTGTAGCCTGTGCATATCATGCATGTGTCGCGGTCGTTTTAATAAATACGGAAAAGCTGTATGGTGGCAATAATATTATTACGTTGGCGCGTACCAACTAAAAAGTAAATGTCATTCATGCGAATTCAATAGCTGTTTTACACACACTAAGTCATATTATATACGTTTATGTGTATTATTTTACACGTAAAATATATTTTATCGTCTGCAGTATAAATACGTATATGTATATATGTAATAACACTTGTGCAATACAATAATAATAATATAAATCAGTACATGCACGTGTAAAGGGCTTATGGTAAATCGTTTATTATCGCCATACATCATATTATCTTTATTTTATTACAGTACATTGTTATTTATTATTATGGCACTATTTAGACCATGTTTTATGACGAATTTTTCCGATCGGAACTCTGTAGTTCTAGATACATCTATATATTGCCTACACACACATGATGTGTAATGTGTATATGTTGTGTGTGTGTGTGTGTGTATTTTTTGTATGTGTGTGCGCGCGCGCGTATATAGCTACATTACACGTATATATTTATAATAAATATAGACTGCAGCTAACCCCCAAATTCGTTACTTTGTACTCGAATCTACTCTGAGTTTTTTTTTGTATGAGTATACTCGTATATATAAACTTTCGAAGTCTCGCCATACTGGTACTGAATTAGTTAAAATGTACTTATCGCGCATTCCCGACCACGCGATTTTTTTTTTTTTATTATTATTATTGTGTCCTGTGACCCTATGCCACGTTGGCGGGTTTTCACGAAAAATAATCGTGTTTGGAGTGTAAAAACGCAGTGTCTGTGTAATTTTTTTTTTTTCAAATTTATTCGCTACCCTTTATCGATCGATGTGGGTTTTTTTTTTATTCGTTTTCGTTTTTTTTTTTGTGTGTTTACGCGTATTATTGGTTAAAAAAAATATATAACCACATTGATCTGAAAAATGAAAAAACCCGACTTAAACTAATGTTAAAATCGAAACATTGAATTTTGCTCGATCTGCAGTCTAAAAATCGGAGTCAAATAAATCATCGTACATACTATTCACAATGCAGCTTATAAAATATTTCATCAAATATTTTTTTATGTATGGCATAAAAAGTATAGGTAAACCGGAAATTTATGAAAACATACAAATGTATGTATGTACGTGATAATACATATGTATGGAATAAATCTTTGTAGACTTGACATAAGTGTAATATGTAAATAAAATAGTAGAACGAAAAGGGTTACGGCAGAGATGTGAAATAGAAAAAAAATATTTATTTAAAAAACCGTCTTTCAATTGTGTACCTATAGGTACCTACAATAAAAAACTTGTCGTCTTTTTATACGAGTCAAATACCGACGGAAACTCCTCTGGAAGTTTTTTGAATCACATGCGCTTTTCCAGTGATTGCAGCAAAGATATGTAGGTACATAATAAAAACGAATTAAAACATCAATAAGCTATATAATGTATTTGTTGCAAATATTGTAAATGTATAATATTAATACAAAAATTAATTTTAATAAAGACGAAGAATAAATTATGATATTGTATTAAATGCAATCAAAAATTTCAAAACAATGATAAAAATTAAAAATAAGAAATAACATAATAAATAACAACATGTTCAACATACAACTTATTGCAATTATATTAGTATAACAAAATTATAATTTTTTTTTTTAAATATTATCCGAACTTAAATTATTTTTTTTTTAAATTTAATGACACTTTAATGTAGCGGCAGTTTTACTATTTCAATATTATATCATGTAAGAGCACAATACTTGTTAAATTTTAGATACTAAAATTAATTGTAACGATATTCTGTACCGATTATGGCAAGTGACATTTGAAAACTGATAAATATGTATAAAATATGTATTATATAAATTTCAATTCACAGCTCCACTCTTTGTGAATATTTTACTTATAGGACTTAGTTATATTTGAATTGATTGCGATTAACTTATTTTGTCTAACCTTGAAAATTGATCTAATAATGCAATCGATAACTTATTTTCAAGGGAAGCTAGTGCGTAATCTTAAAAATAATATTACTAATTATTATTATAAAATTACTCATAATACTACTGCAACCGCTAACACTTTGGACAGTTAAAACTATTGGCAATATTGGAAATCACTTTTAAAATATTGCAAAATAATAATTAAATTATCCGTAACCGACAAAACTGTCATAAATTGTACTTAAATATATTAACTTCAGGGACAAAGTTACAGCATGACAGTTTAACCAGTGGGCGCCCAGCCTGCAATATTTTCTAGTTTTTACATAATTTTATAAACCTGACACCCTTCTAAAAACTTTAACTTTACAACGCCTCTGTAATTCCTTGGTTGTTGCACAAATATTTTGATTGAATTGAAAAGGATTATCCCTTTTTGTTATATATTTTTATATAAATATCCTTCAGGTAGTTTTTGATTTTTCATCACATCTTTTTTTAAAATACATTTTTTTTCGATTTAATCAATTTCATATTTTCAAAGGATCAGATAGGTATTGTTTATTAGATCTTCAAATAAAAATCAATATACAGAAAAAAACAAAAATATACTTATTCAACATTTACTTTGCAAGCATTAAACCATGTTTAATTCATTAAAAAATGTTTGATAATTCTTTTTTATATAGTCTAAACGTTTCACAACTTATATAAAAAAAACAAAAATTACACAATGGTTATAGGTATATATATAAAGCACTGACTACATTTAAAGAGTGGAAAATTTTTATATCAATATTGCATTTATAAATTCTAATCAATGCATAAAAAACTTTTTAACTAAATAGCTCTCAAAATTCGTGTTCTAGCTGGTTACAGATTAAGTCATTTATATTTTGCAAAAAAAAAAAAAATAAATAAACAACTATAGATAAATCATATAAAAAGGTAGTTAATTTATCAGCAATAAATATGTATATGAATATAAAGCTTAAGAACGTTAGACTTTTAAATTATGATGTATTTATTGAATTAGTTTTAAAATACTTAAGGTCCGAGTATTATGGTACATTGGTACCTATATGTATATGCATAACGTATACTATTTACAGGTTTTTCTTTAATAAAATAGATATTTAAAATCTGATTTTTGGATATTATAAAAAATATACCTAAAGACTGTATTTTCAATATCTTGAGATTTTGTAAGTTGCTTAAAATGATCAATAATTCGTCTGGCTTGGCTTTACGGCATCCAACTATGGAGGTCAACAAAGCCATCAAACACGAATACCTTACAAGCATTTAAATCCATATGCCTACGTCTAATAACGCCTAATAACCTTTGGTCCTTGGTATGTTACCAACAAAAACCTCCACAAATACCTGAATATACCAACCATCATCGACTTAGCTAAATCCCATTACTTAAAATTCCACTTGAAACTTCGCGCTCATTCTAATCCAATAATTAAAAGTATTATCTCTACCTCAATCATTCCTAGAAGGTTAAAAAGGCAATGGCCAAGAGACTTGCTCAATGTAAAAAAAAAAATAAGTTAATAAAAATATAAAAACCCTAATTTCTTGTCAGGTGACACTGTTGGAAGCATTCCTACTATATGATTAATGTTATTTTTATGTCACCACACTTACTTATTATATTCTGTTTGTATAGACTGTAAATAAACTATTTAAAATAAAAAAAAAAAATTTGGGATTATTTAACTTTGTATATTAAGGATAATACATAATATATAATATGAATAATAGGTTTGAAAGATATGGGAGTGCGGGGATTTTAAATTTTTTAATAATTATTATCAACCCGACATTATTTATAATTTATAAAAAAAAATCTAATTAATACTAGATCCAATATAATATATAAGCTATATTTTTATCTAACATTTAATGAATATTATTTTTATTATAAACTGATTAGTTATTCATAAGAGTTTTAAATTTAGTATATCAAAATTTTCAATGTAATTATTCACTAAATAATTTACAGTAAAAACAGGGATTTTTTATTTAATAAACATAATTTTGTATCGCCACGGGATATTCTCTTTATTCAATATAAAAAATCTTAAAAAGTTTAAAATAGTATAGTATTATTATTGTTTCGTTAATGCAACAATAATATAGGTAGGCATACACACGTACCTAACTTGTAGTGCATGAATTATTAAAACGCATAAAATTTTATTCATGACAACCCACTCATATCGGTCTACTCGTGACAAGCTGTCAGTGGGATTCCTTCTTTTTTTCGTACCGGCGTAGATTCCCGTACTATATATCTATCCATTTTTCCACCGCGTACTTTTATGTTATTGAATTATTTACGCTATTTTTTTCAACGAATTTCGATAATAAAGTTACTGGTGGCGTTGTGTATAGGCCATCACACGTACACCATAAGTTCATCGTTCCGTTTTCGGATGGTATCACATTGTGGAAAGACGCTTATCAGCAGTTATCAATAATTATTATCTTACACATAAATGTGGAGACGATAACACAAAAACTGAATATTTTGTGATAATAATAATATAGAATGTTGTTTATAGTGTTCATACGACTCAAGTCGTTTTTAATGTTTATATGATATTATTTTTTGAATTTTTTTTTTTTTTTGAATGCAAACTTAAAAATATAATAAAACTATTGTAGGTACATTTAATAATTAAAATGTCCGAATTCAAAGTGCCACATAAGGTAATTATGACTAACAACATCAATGTTTTTGAAATATTATTTGAATCATTCAATTGTTTTTCAAGTTTTCAATAGTTACTTTGTATTATTTGTTTCAGCGGTATCGACGGGAGGATGCTGAATCCAATTCTGATGATGAATATGTACCGTATGTGCCTGTCAGAGAACGAAAAAAACAAGAGCTACTCAGATTGGGAAGACTTTCAAAGGTAATATTAATTTGGTATTATATTTTTTCAAGTAGTTTAATCCACAAATTAAATAGATAGTATTTAAAATATTTTTTTTTAGCTCAAAGAAGAGTCTGGAAAAGTGAAATCATCTAGTGATGAATTTGATGATGATGAAACTGAAGGACAAGTATGGGGTAGGAAATCAAACATTAGTCTTTTAGATCAACACACAGAGCTGAAAAAACTTGCTGAAGGTAATATTATTTTATTTTTACTAAATTTCATATAAATATAAAATACTCATGTACTGTCTTACATAAATTACAGCAAAAAAAGAAAGTGAAATGGAAAAACAGTTAAAAGAAGAAGAAAAAATTTTAGAAAGTGTTGCGGAGAAAAAAGCCTTAATGGGTGTTGCTGAATTGGCCAAAGGTATCCAATATGATGATCCAATTAAAACAAGGTTGCAATAAATATTAGTTAAAACAACACTAAAATGATATTTATTTTAAAACTTTACTAAAATGTCATTTGTTCATTCTAGTTGGACAGCTCCTCGATACATATTAGCCATGCCAGAAGAACGCCATGAAAATGTGCGTCTTAAGTTACGTATACTAGTTGAAGGTGAAGAAATTCCTCCTCCTCTCAAATCATTTAGAGAGATGAAATTAAACAAAGGTATTATGGCTGGACTTTCTCAAAAAGGTATTAAAAAACCAACACCAATTCAAGTCCAAGGAATTCCCACTGTGTATGTATTTTCTAAAACAAATTATATAATGAGATGATTATTAATTTAGATTAATATTTATTTAACAAGATATTTGTATGTTATTTTAGATTATCTGGAAGAGATATGATTGGTATAGCATTTACTGGAAGTGGTAAAACATTAGTTTTTGTACTACCACTTTTAATGTTTTGTTTAGAACAAGAAATGAGATTACCATTTAAACCTAATGAAGGACCGTATGGTATTAAAATTTAATATTTTAAAAATATATTAATGAATCACATTTAACCTGTTTCAAATTTTTTAGGATTAATAATCTGTCCATCTAGAGAATTGGCAAAACAAACATTTGATATTATTAATCACTATATGACATATCTGGAACGATCTAATTACCCAAGACTTAGATCATGTTTAGCTATAGGAGGCATACCTGTTTTTGAATCACTTGATGTTATTAAAAGGTAATTTTTTATCATTTTTATTTCTAAATTATATAAATAATAGTACATTTTTAATTTTTATTTATATTAGAGGTGTACACATAATGGTAGCAACTCCTGGTCGACTAATGGATATGTTAGATAAGAAAATGATAAATTTAGAAGTCTGTCGGTACGTTAATACATTTACATTTTACATTTTCAAAGTATTTAAATTTAATAAACATTAATATTATTTACTAGCTATCTTTGTATGGATGAAGCTGATAGGATGATTGATATGGGTTTTGAAGAAGATGTGAGAACAATATTTTCATTTTTTCAAGTATATCTTCTATTATTTGACATAATTTCTAATACTTTAATTACTATAATAATTGTACGTTATTCATTTATATTTTAGGGTCAGAGACAAACATTGTTATTTTCAGCTACTATGCCAAAAAAAATTCAAAATTTTGCTCGATCAGCCCTAGTTAAACCAATTACCATTAATGTTGGTAGAGCAGGTGCAGCATCTATGAATGTCATTCAGGTAAATTTTTATTTTTATTTATAATTTATTTATTATATTTTATCTAATAAATGTACATAATTAATAGGAAGTAGAGTATGTTAAACAAGAAGCAAAAGTGGTTTATTTGCTAGAATGTTTAAAAAAAACTACCCCACCAGTTTTAATTTTTGCTGAAAAGAAACAAGATGTTGATGCAATACATGAATATTTATTGCTTAAAGGAGTTGAAGCTGTGGCTATACACGGAGGAAAAGGTTTAATTAGTTTTACTTTTCCTGTACAATTATTGTATATTATTTTACACTGATGTGTTTAGACCAAGAGGAACGTTCAAAGTCTGTTGATGCGTTTAGAAAAGGCCAAAAAGATGTGCTTGTTGCTACTGATGTAGCTTCCAAAGGTTTAGATTTTGAAGAAATACAGCATGTAATCAACTATGATATGCCCGATGATGTAGAAAATTATGGTATGTAATTAGAAACAGTATTATGTCTATTTTTTTTTTTTTTTTATGTTAAATAACAATGTTTTTACTTTTTAATTTAGTACACAGAATTGGTAGAACTGGTCGTTCAGGTAAAACTGGTATAGCTACAACATTTATCAATAAAGCAAATGATGAATCTGTACTATTAGATTTGAAGCATTTGTTAATAGAAGCTCGTCAAAAAGTCCCATTGTTTTTGTCTGAATTGGAATCAGAAAATGAGAAATACTTACAACTCGGAGGTTCAAATTTACTATTTTATTTATTAACGGAATGTATAAAATTAATTATTTTTATTTTAGATGAAAGAGGTTGCAGTTATTGTGGTGGTTTGGGCCACAGAATTACTGATTGTCCTAAATTAGAAGCAATACAAACTAAACAAGCATCTAATATCGGACGTAGGGATTATTTAGCGACTAGTGCTGCGGATTATTAGTTTTACATTACAGTCATGTATATTCTTCTGATAATCTTACAAAATTTGTCTACCCAAAAATTATATATTAAGATGAAAAATCTCAATTATATTGTTTGATTGTATATCGATTAAATTAATGTGATATAATAAAAATTTGATTTTGGTTTGTGAAAATGTAAATTTTGACTAGACCTATTAGTTATTAAAATATTATTTTTGTACCTATAATTGCTATTTAGTGTACCTAATGTAAATAAATAATAAATGACTTAATTTTTTTATTATAAAGTGGTTGAGCTTAATTTTTAGTTAAGTCATATTATATTCTTATATTGTTGCGTATTAAATTAATGACATTCATGGTTACCTTAAATGGCATTTAATCATTAAAGGTAATATGTATGCCATAATTCACTATGGTATAGATACCAGAAAACGAGACTCATGATTGTCATGTGAGCTATCATACCCTAAGTCAATACAATTCTCAGGTATAAAGCTTGAAAATTATAATGCTCCCACGAGTGATCTAATAACGTTTTTGAAATTTTATCAAAGTATAATAACACGAGAACAGGTGCAATTGTCCGTGAGGCATTTCACACATGAAAACACGAAATAGATATCCTCAAATCCCATTATTCCATATATTTTTCCACATTCCACAAAGGATTCCAACTTTAAAAGCTTTAACAAATATCGTTTGGACTCTGGATTAGATATCAACATTGTTATCACTTATCATTTATTTTGTAAATACGATTGTCGATAACAGATGTGAGCTATTGTGATAAATGACAAATGTGATAGTAAATTTGTAAACATAATTTAATAATATTATTAAGTATTAACATTAGTTATTACCCAGTACCTACTTATTTTATATTTATTTTACTATTTAAGATTTTTAGTCACCGAATGCAAACAATTCAGTCAATTTTTAGTCTTATTAATTTTACCAGACATCCTAGAACTAAGTATACGCATTTTTATTTTTATTTAATTATTGGTTTTTTGTATCAAACACTCTTTAGTCATGAAACATAACCAGTAATGCTCGACAACCAACGTTGTTATAACATTTAAAAATGGCACAATATTTGTTTGTGTTAACCATTTTGGCGTTGACCTATGCATTTGGACATTGCTCTCTGGGAGATAGCTTCCCGTCTTACAGAAGTTGTGTTGTAGAATGTTCACAGAAACGATGCGACAAAGGTAAAACATTGAATTTCAATTAGAATTAATCAATATCATAACTAATCTAATGATGGATGTATTTAGATGGTGTAAGATACAAGAGAAGCTGTTGTCTTATAGTTTTAGAAGTTTTTAAATGGAAATGTTCTGAAAACTGCAAATATGATTGCATGTGGCCAATGGTTGAAGGTTTGGTAGAACGCGATTGGCCAGTTCCACAATTTCATGGAAAGGTTGTGCATGAAATTTTTTTAAATTTACAATATTCATTTAAAATATTAACTTTTTTTTTTTTTTTTAGTGGCCATTTAAAAGACTACTTGGTCTACAAGAACCCGCATCAGTTGCATTTTCTTTATTAAATTTATTTACAAATTTGATAATGTTCAATCGTTTCAAAGAACAAATTCGTTTCACTTTACCATCATGTAATATATGGTCTCTGTACACATTGGTAAATTTAATTTTATTTATGAAATATTAATAGAATTTACAGAGCTATCAAAATGTCTTCAATTAAAAATATGAAAAATGTCATTCTTTTTTAATTTATATATAAGTATACTAAATAAATTTAAAACTTAAATTGTATAATCATTATAAAAGTATATTAATAATTTTAGTGAGTAATTTACTATAGTTATTGATATATATATATATATATATGTGTGTGTGTGTGTGTGTGTGTGTGTGTGTATGTGTATCAAGCATTAATTAAAATTACATTTTTTTTACTATGTCATTAAATATTAATGACACTAGAATATATTTACAATATTATTTAATTTAATAAATATATAACCACTAGACAAAATGTTTGGGGCCATAAGTGATAGTGGCCAGTTTCATCAAAATTTAAGTCATTTCAAACATTCAAAATAAAATATTTATATCTATACCTATTGATTTTTATTTTAGTTCATGTTTTATTAAATTATATACATTTAAATGGTTGTAACTCACTTAATTTTTATTTTAGCTACGTTCTATATCTGATTACTTTTAATAAAATGAATCTATATCATTTCAAAATATTATAATTATTTATAAATTATGATTCTTGTATGAAATTAAAAGATTCACTGTTTACAGTTTTAAAAATTAAACTTCTCAAATGTTATTTAAAAATTAAGATTAAAGATTAGAGTATTAGACTAATAAGTAGATGTTATATTTTCTATAACTATAGATATTTTAAATGATGCTAGATTTATAATTTTCCATTTTAATAACTTATCAAATAGTACAATTCATAATTTTTAAGTATAAGTTAATGTTTTGTTGTTTTTTATTTTAATATATGTATATTTTTTTAGGTATCAGCAAATTGTTGGTTTTGGTCAGCTGTATTCCATGGCCGAGACACTATGTTTACTGAATTGATGGACTACATTAGTGCTTATGCTATGGTTTTGTTTGCATTTTACACTATTGGTCATCGAATTCTATTATACAGTAATCAGATTGTGAAGAATACGTTTATGGTTATATGTTCTCTTGCATTTATCTATCATTCATTATATCTACTTACTACAGAATATGATTATAAGTACAATATGACTACAAATCTTCTAGTTGGTAAGAAATAAAAATAATTTACAATATTTTGTACACATTTACTAATTTAAAACATGTAGGCGCTGTAACAGGCACAGCCATGCTAATATGGGCAGTGTTGAATCGTCGCAGAATGGGCCATGGTAAATATTTGATATTTTATGTACTTGGCATGACTTTGGCTTCATTATTAGAGCTAGCAGATTTTCCACCACTTCTGTGGACATTTGATGCACATTCACTCTGGCATTTAGCTACAGCTCCAAATGCATATTTCATGTACAAGTAAGGCAATACAAATTTGAGCTTTGTTATTAAACAAGTAGTACTGTAATGGTTAAAATATTTTTTTATACTTTTTCTAAAAAAAAAAAAAATGTATTTATCACCAAAGCTATAAGCTTTAAATTAATATATAAGTAACTCACCATCCAGAAAATATGTATTACACTTTTTTGAAATTCTTATTTTTAGTATTTAATTATCAATTAAAAATTAAAAAAACTAATTATTTTGATTTTAGTTTGAAGTAAATAAATTTGAAAAACTAACTATAAAGAATGTTATAATCTTAAAATGTAACATAACTGGTTGACTTATATTTAATTCTGATATTAATTTAAAATATAAATTTCAATTATTTATAATTTAGATAGTAAATTTTCTATAATCTAGACTTAATACAATTTTGGAATTATTTTCTTTAAAGAAGAACACATTTTTTTTTTTTTTTTAATTCTTAATATTATTTGAACATAATTTTCAGGTTTGCTATTGAAGACTGTAAACATCAGCGTCGAATGTTACTGAAATGACAGTTTCTTGCACTGGGGATACCTCAGATACAAGACGAATAAGACTTCAGTGATAAATTTAGTTTTCCTGGCCTACTGACCTTTATTTGTCATATTTAGGTTTAAATAATTTTTTTTTTTTTACTTCCTGAGATCACCATGATATTTATATGAGTTATAGTCTAATTACAAGTATATGACTATTTCCTCATTGAAGTAATTTGTGTTATTTTTGAACACAAACTTTACTACAATATGTCAACCCATCAAACTGATATGTAGGTATAAGTTAATAAAATTATAATATATTAGATATTGTATACAAATATGACATAAGACTATTTAACTATTGATCAAATATTTTACTCTTATGTTTATTGAGTCACTAGAATACTATAACTTAGTAAGAAATAACTACTATCCATATCTAATACTACTTACTAGCTATTACTATATTTTTATGAATCTCACAAAAGTTACTCAGTCATTGTGATAAAATGTTAACAAATCTGTTATATAAATACATATTTAAGTTTTATTGTGCATTTCATTGCCATGTAGTTATTTCGTTTGCTAATTTTTGTTAATGATTTTGTGTATATTTAGTTATTGTTTTAATTTTGATATTAATTATTTGTTTCATATTTTATATTAAAGAATTATTGGCTTCCAATCAATTTATTTATACTATACCTAAGATACCTACTAGTCTATTTAAATGTTTATTATTACCTTAATATGAAAATGTACTATTTATAAAAAATATAAATATTTTTTAATATAGAAAATTATGTTTGATTTTTGATTTGATTTTCATATTAAAAAAATCTGTTACATTTACTGACTTTTTTAATATCTATACTATTTTGTTATTAGTATTAGCCATATATGTTCAAAGACATGTGTGTTCTCTACCTGTACTGTAAATATTAAAATATCAAAATTTAGTTATGACATTTATTATTTCAAACATGCCTTTAAATATACATTTATTTATCATTAAGTTAAAGACAATTACAGATTTTTCCTAAATATTTTTATAGTCAATAATGAATATTCTCAGCTTATTAATTTTAATTTTATGAGTCATTTAGAAATTAGAGTCTAGATGTCATATGCAGTGCTGGACAATAAAACTATTAACTAATGTGATCAAATGATTAGATACCTAGGTAAGTTCATAAGGATTATTATATATCTATAGCAATGTAGCTTTATGTTTATAGCAATGATTAGTAGACTAGACACAGTATGCTGAAGGAATAATTTTAGAACAATTGCTTCTTCAAAATTAGTGGATGGGTATTGGCCACTGGTTAATCGATTTAATACAAAATTGAACTATGCCACTAACGCCATAATTATTCAAAAAAATAAACTTTATTTCCCATGTAAATAGAGAAAACACTGTACACCTTTTAAGCATTTTGGGCTTACAGCTTGCTGTTTTTTGTCGATTTGTGATGCAAGAGTGAAAGTTTGGTAGTTTGGATATTTGTTTGTTGTTCAGATGTGTTTTGTTTAGGAGAATAATATAACTGTTTTTTTCCTTAGAATTAGAGACATCGCGGAAACGGCGAATCTATACTTATTGCGTCGGTTTAAGCGTGACTCTTGGTTAGTTAACATTTATTTGGTGAAAACTACACAAATTTATTGTATGTTACACTGTGTGCCGATTCTCACTTGTCATAACATATTGTTTTATAATACCAAATATGTAGATATTTTTGTGGTGGCGCCACAAAATTAAGGAGTTACAAAATTTAAAACTATATAGTGATACTTTTATCTATTTTTATTTTTTACTATTATTACTTATATATATATATATATTAAATACAAACGTAGAATATACATACATATTACAGTATTACACTATATCTAAATCATAATATATTATAAGTACGTGCAAAATAAATATTAACTGTATGCTGTATATCAAAATAAATTTCCCTCCTCAGATCATCATTCTGGATCTGCACCTGACTTGACAGTATGCGTGTTTAGCCGTATTAGGTTTTCTAGAATTTTCTGAACGAGACAGGCAGCATAAAATAAAAACAACCATTAATCAGGGCTCTGCAGATTGTACACCATTAATATTACCATAAAAATCATAGAATACAGAAAAAAAATGACGCTTTGTTTTAATGCTTTTAAGTATACGATTTTTTGTGGTATATATTAAGAATTGTTTTGATATATTTTTTTTTTTTTAAACAGTTAAGCCGCAAAATCGATTGAATGGGATAACCATCAAATCACGATGTCACGGCGTTATGAGTAGGCAACTACCGTTGCACATTCTGCACGGTAAAAATAAATACGAAATCCAACAGGATGCACCTATAAAAGCGTAAGAGAATGAACTCTTTGTCTGAGGTTGGAGTCGTGGTCGGAAAGCGAAACCAGTTACCGACTCTGAAAATTCGATACGTCGCCGTTGTGAGTGACACAGAGAAGTTCGCGAAACAACAAAAACTCACGGGGACCATTTTTACGACATATTTCGTTCAGGTGTGTCATTTATTTTAATGGCCAATAAGCACAAAATATACGACGCAATGCAAAGAAAAATGTCCACAACACTACACAATTTATTATGGTAAGGTAAGATTATGTTTTTTTACCCATTATCCACACGAGTACTCGTATCGTGAAGATCTGAACAGCGTAAAATCGTTACATCTTTTAGACGTGTAAAATTTTACGTTTTCACAAAAATTAAATGATAATAAATATATGGCAATAACAACTACCAATAATCATAACAGATGATGGCGTTGTGAACAACGATGGTAAGTAAGTCGGCTATGTCAAAGACAAAAACGTTTTGTCGTCAAAATTTGTGTATGGTTTTACATGGCCGCGTGCGCGCGCAAACGTGCGTCATCCAACATAATATTGTTTCTGCCGTTCATTACACAATCCCGTTACCGAGTCACCTCCCGTTCAACCGCCTATTATCTTGGGATCAGCGGGTTTGATTCAAGGTTTATAGATATTTATAGACCTTGGGTTTGATTGTTGTATTTTTTATATAAATCTAGCATCAGTCTTTCAATTCTTAATACCTGATGGATCCCTCCCCCAATATTCCTAGCCAGGATCTCCTAAAAACGAGGATAACAATAAACTATGCTTTAAGGTTAGGACAATAATAAATTTACGAATATCTTTCCTAAAAAATATTATAGTTATGTGCAGATTTTTTATAATTACCACTGAATATTTAAATAAAACATTTTTACAGCAAAAATACCTTATTCAAAGCTTTCCATGCACAGTTTGTGTAAAAGACAACTCACTTGCATGGCGTATACCTACTACAAAAATAAAACAAACTAAAGATGAATTTCCTGCATCGCTAATAAATTATCACTACTTACCGCCGCAGTGGTGTAGTGGAGGGTATACGCGGGTATACGGCGTATACCCGCTTCTCTGATTTTCCGTAAGTGCGTATACTAAATGTCTTATAGAATAACACGTGATACGCGGGTATACGCGTATGGGAATGCATTTATTCTACAAACCGTGCAAATTACGACAGTACAAGACTGTAATTAGACATTAATATTATTTATTGCACAGCGCATGGCTAAATGTTATATATGGGAGGTGTTGGTGGCAAAGCCTCCCACGTTTATATTTCAATCACATCTAAGCGTTAACTCATTAAAAAAATTACGACTACATCACTGTTTACCAACTTCTTGGCCATTCAATAAATAAATTAATTACACTTGAACAGAAGTGAATGCATTAGGTATTTAAATTGAAGATTTCATGAATTTTCAAATACAAATAAATTAGAATTTTTTGTAATTTTGAATACCTATTTATTCATAAAAAAAAAATGAAGTATTATGTAGCCTATCACCTCCTAAGTAGTAATGTATTTTCGAGAAAAACAAAAAACCGCTTTTTTGTCGTACTTACTAGATCTATATTTGCTATTTAGGTGTTTTAAAATGATTGTATACCAATTTGACTTTCTGTTCCTTACAATCATTCATTCCGATTTGCCACGATCACAAATGATCACAAATGGATCTATGTTCCGACGGCCCGCTCTCCGTGTTAAAGGAGTGAGTGAATTATAAATATAGCTGACAAGCCGAATGGCGGGGAACAAAGTGATGTTATGAACTTAAAGAAAATTTCGTATTCTCCTCGTTACAGCAGGTATGCCCTTATTGTTGTTTCGCCTCATAGGATCACGAGTTCGTGATTGCACTACTTAAATTGTGATCCTAAATTGTAAATATAAATGTTTTTTGGCATTTATTTTACCGTCTATGACAGACCACTGTGCACTGTGCACTCTAGCTCTCTCCCGACTATGATTGGTCTCTGCGTACGATATTGAAAAATGTTAAAAAGTTACAGTTATGTCTCATTAATTGATTATAAAATGATTATAAAAAAATTAATTTGGCTAATAATAAAGTATTAAGTCATAGCTCTTTACAAACACAGCAAGGGCATTATCGTTGAAACTTCTATGAAGTTAATAATTCACACGTGGCATTAAATCGTTTATACCTATACGTATTGATCGCATCGCGTATAGAATAGAAAATTTATGGCAGAATTCTGTATAGTATGTATTTTTCATATAAAAGAAGGTTAGAAAAAGTAATTAAAGTAATTAATTAAGGAAGTAATTCAAAAATAATTTAAATATATGTTTATTTATGGTACAAAAATTATATGTATTTGAACTCAAAAATTCTACAATACAATTGTATTAATATTATCTTGTATTACCTACATAAAATATTATTTTACATTTATTGTATTTTAAGGATATATAATGCACACTATTTATAGATTATAGTATAAACCTGATTAATCGACAATTTAATCTTGATTCAATACGGGGTGGTACATTTAATTTATATAATATAATGCGTATAACAATCAGTTTGATTTTTCAATCTATTAAATATTTATTTTTATATTTATACTTATATGTTATAACTTATTATTACCAATAACGAAATATTTAAAAACAATATAATTTATATAAGCATTAATACGCACGCAGTTGATATTTATCGCACTTGATATATTAAAACAAACTTACTGCACAATATAATAATTAATAATATACACAATATTTAAAAAAAAATACATAGTACAAACATTTCGAATTATATATTATCACAGTTAAATAAATTGATAGATTAGGTTAATTTTATCCTGTGGCTATTAGAATTGTATAAATGCATATCTTTCAACAATAAATAATAATAGTTGTATTACATAGGTAACGTACTACATACACATTTAACCAAATAAATTCTTTGGTAATCATATCGAAATTTTACCCACAACTCTAGTAGTTATTTTAAGTATACCCATATAACTTTGGTTTACCTGTTATACGACTATCTTTTATTATAACGTAGGTATCTAAAGACTATT